TCCCTATTTGCAGATGATATGATCTGGTATATAGAAAATCCCAAGGAATTCACTAAAAAGCTATTATCACTAATAAAGGAGTTCAGTCAGGTAGCAAGACACAATATCAATATATTAAAATCACTTGTATTTCTATATGTCAGCAACATTCTGAAAATGAAATTAAGAAAACAATTCCACTTACAATACAGCAACAAAAAGAATAAAATACGAACAATTTTAACAAAAGTGCAAGACTTCTACTCTGAAAACTACAAAACATTGTTGGAAGAAATTTGAGAAAATTTAAATAAATAGAAAGATACCCACACTCATGATCAGAAGACTTAAAGTTGTTAGGAAGGCAACGCTCCCCAAACTGATCTACAGATTTAACATTATCCTCTTAAAAAATCCCAGCTGACTACTTTGCAGAAATTAACAAGCTGATCTTAATTCAAGAAACTCAGAACAGCCAAAACAATCTTGAACAAGAAAAAGGAAATTGGAGAACCCATACTTCCCCATTTCAAAGCCACAAGTAATCAAGATAGTATGGGATGGCATAAGAATATGTTTTTTTCAATAAATGTTGCTGGGACAATTGGTATCTGCAGGCAAAAGAATGCAATTAGACTCCTACTTCACATCATATTCAAAGTTAACTCAAAATTGGGTCAAAGATTGAATGTAAGAGCTAAAACTCTTAGAATAAACCCTAAGTGTAAATCTTTGTGACTGTGGATTAGGCAATAGTTTCTTAGATATGATGCCAAAAGACCAAACACAAAATAAATAAATTGGACTTCACCAAATTAAGAAACTTTTGTGCTGCAAGGGCATCATTAAAAAAGTAAAGAGACAACTCACAAAACTGAAGTAAATATTTGTAAATCATATGTCTGATAAGGGTCTTATTTCTAGCATATATAAAGAACTCTCACAATTCAATATTTTAAAGAAGTCAACAGGCAAAATATCGGAATGGACATTTCTCTAAAGAAGATATACAAATGGCTTATAAGTACATGAAAAGATGTTCATCATCATTAGCCAAAAGAGAAATGCAAACCAAAACCACAATAAGATTCCACTTCACATTCACTATGATGTTATTCAAAGTGAGTCACAGATCTAAATGAAAAACCAAAAAGTATAAAACTAAAAGCAAGCACAGGATAAAACCTTTGTGACCTTGAGTTAAGTGAGGATTTCTTAGATATGATGCTAATAGCACAACTGATAGACTAGACTTCATCAAAATTAGTAACTTATGCTCTTTGAAAAACATAGTTAAGAGAATGAAAAGATAAGTTATGGATCTGGAGAAAATAAATACAAAGCATATATCTGATAAAGAATTTGCCCCAAGGATATATTTTTTAAAAAACTATCAAAGTGAAACAGTACACAACAAATACAACTCAGCTGAAATTTGGTGAAAGATTTGAACACTTCAAATAAGCACTTGAAGATGCTCTCAACACTGTTAGTCATCAGAGAAAAGGAAAATCAAACCACAATGAGATATCACCACACAGAATGGCTAAAAATAGTATGGCTAACATTAAAAAGACTATACCAAGTGGGAATAACAATGTGGAAGAACTAGAACATTCATACACTGCTGATGGGAATATAACATAGTTTTGTTAATAATTAATGTAATTAACAAGTTAGCGAAGTTCCCTCCCTCTCTCCTTTCCTTTTGTTTTTTTTTTTTTTGAATTGGAGTCTCACTGTGCCGCCTACGCTGGAGTGCCGTGGCACACTCATGGCCATCCCGGTGTCAACTTGCTGGGCTCCGGCGATCCATCAGTCTCAGCCTTCCAAGTAGCCCCAACTACAAGCGCACTACCATGCCCGGCTAGTTTTTGATTTATTGTAGAGATGAAGTATCGCCAAGATGCCCGGGCTGGTCTCGAATCCACAGATCAGGCAATTCATTCGCCTCAGCCTCCCAAAGTGCTGGGATTATAGGCTGAGCCACCAAGTTCGGCCTTTCCTTTCTTTCTTAAGAGACAAGTATTTAGAAAGAAAGCAATGATCATCTGAAAGCAGCACTTATTCTAGCCGGGACAATCAGGCAAGGAAATGAAATAAAAGGCAACCAGTTTGGAAAGGAAGAAGTAAACCTATCCCTATTTGCAGATGATATGATCTGGTATATAGAAAATTCCAAGGAATTCACTAAAAAGCTATTATCACTAATAAAGGAGTTCAGTCAGGTTGCAAAACACAATATCAATATATTAAATCACTTGTATTTCTATATGTCAGCAACAAACAATCTGAAAATGAAATTAAGAAAACAATTCCATTTACAATACAACAACAACAACAACAAAATACTTGAGTACCTATTTCTGGCCTCTAATCCAGGGGTCAACAAACATTTTAGGTCAGATAGTAAATGCCACAAACCAGTCAACTCTGCCTTTGTTCATAAATGCAATTATAAACAATATGTAAATGAATAAGCATAGCTGTGCTCCAAGGAACACTGAACTTCATGTAATTTTCATGTCACTAAATATTATTTTTTCCCCAAGTAATAAAAGATATAAAAGCTACTCTTAGGCCATAGGCCATACTAAAATAGGTGGCTAGCCAGATTTAGGAACCCCTACTCCAAACCCTTAATTTTTTTTTACACTTCTAAAAAATTTTTATACTTTAAACATTTCACAAAACAAATATATTTGATAAAAAGGTTAAACACATAAACACAATAAAAGGGCATAAAGTGAAAAGCCTCTTTCCTATCCCAGAGGCCCAGTTTCCTTCTCCAGTTTTTCTGTATCCCTCCAGAGCTATTGCCACTATTAAATATCTCAGCATGAATGGCCCTAGTAAAAATGACTTTGAACACATACTATTTCATCTATATGATAAATTCCTGGAAGTGGAACTGCTGGTTAAATCTCCTTGAAGTATTCACTGCAACATGTAATTAATTGGTCACTATCTATAGCTTCTTATTTGCCAAGGATAAGTTTCTGATATGCTTTTACCTATCTTCTATCTTCCTAATCAACTTTAAAATCATGTTAGAGTTTTGCTCCAGATTATTATGGACTTTAAAATTATACCAACTCTGGTTCATAAATCTTTCCTTAAGATTGCATTATATTTCTTAGCTATAGTTATCAATGGCTTGAAATTGAGAAATAAGTTTTACTGCTTTCTTTGATCACTATTTTTTGAATTCTACATATATTTTTCTTAATTTTTCATTTTGATATAGTCCATTCTTGGGTACCTCTAGTGGGTACGAATGAAAATGATTTTATTTTGCCCCTGATTTAAATGACAATTAGGCTAGGGTTAAGATTCTGAGTTCAAAATAAGTCCCATGAACACGTTTTAAATACTGCTCCGTTGTCACCTAACATTCCACGTTTCAAGTTAGAAGTCTAATTGCAAGTATAATTTCCATTTTTTGAAGTAACCATATATTTATCTTTGGAAGTTTGTGAGATTGTATATTTTATCTACGAAGGCCACAAATTTAATCAGAATGTCTCTATCAATATATATATATTTTTTGAGTCAGGGTCTCACCCCGTTGCCCAGGCTGCAGTGCAGTGGCATGCTCACCGCTACCCCAGCGTTGACTGCTGGGGGGCTCCAGCGATCCTTCCAACTCACCCTTCCAAGTAGCCAGAACTACAGGCATGCGCTACCACGCCTGGCTAATGTTTTTATTTTATTGTAGGGACAAAGTCTCATCATGTTGCCCAGGCTGGTCTCGAACCCTCGGACTCAGGTAACTCTCTTATCTCATCCTCCCAAAGTGCTGGGATTACAGGCTTGAGTCACCGCGCCCGGCCATATCAATATTCTTTTAAGACTCTCAGTGCATCTATTCTAGTCATAAACTCATATCACTCTGCTCAGAGAATTATCCTTGTTTTTTTGACAAAGTATTTTGTTTCTACTGTGAGGTAGAAATGGGGAATCTGGCATCTGCTTTGAGTTGGCAGGGAGGAGAGTGGGGAACAGGAGCTGTGAGCACAATGAACATGTCTTCCCACAAGCTCTCTGAAAAAGCATACTTCCTGATCATCCCCAAGATGAAGAAACAAACCAGAGAGGGAAGGGTTGATCTACGTTTGCCAGTACTTTGTCCCCTGATACTTGCTTCTGTCTGGATAGGCTACCCAAGACTCTGCCTGGATACTCCTATCCTCAAGATCTCTGTTAACTCTGTGGTTATTTCTTCTCTTTCAATTTCTATTCCCTCCTGAATCTCCTATTAGATGTACATTAGCTCTTCTAGATCCATGTTCCATGGCTATTCTTTCCTAACTTAAGTTTTAATATTCAAGAATAGATTTTTTTTCATGGTAACCTATATGTGTTCAATAGGTATGATTCTCTACCAAATCTGAGGATACTAATATTCATTTTAAAGTTTTCTTGTTTCTTACATTAAACTCCATTGCTTCAGAGGCAGAAGTCTGGGGCTTCTTTTACATGCCATTGATTTCCCACAATGTTTAATGATTTTTATTGTCTGTTCACATTATAAATGTATTAGTATCTTAGTCTACATGGAAGTCACTGTACTCCTGCAGTAAACTTACATTTGTAACTAACCCTATAATTAAATTTTACATTGCACCTAGTGCTTGTATGGCATGACAATAACAATCTAAATTCTTTAACTTGCAATCCCATGATTCTTCAATCCATTTTTAGTCATATCCTTTTGGTATTTCATTTCCCCTAACAACCACTAATTGAGTAACATAGTTCTTACATAAGTGTTATACCAAACTTCGCAGTCAGATCATCACCAACTCTAACAGACATGTCTAATAAACAGTTAAACAAGTAATGTCAGGTAAAAGAGGTGAAATACAAAGGATAAATAATGATATGGTAATGATGACTCACATAAATAATGAACTCTAATAGTTATGCTTTTTATCAACCTATGTTATATTAGTCAAAATAAGAAATTATATTACATTAAAAAAAGAAGACTGTTAGTTAAAATGTAACTTTCTACCTACCTTATGACTCGGTCATTCTATAGCTGAGAGAAATGCACAGATGCTCGAAAAGACATTTACAAGAATGTTCACAGCATTCTTAATATACAAAATACTTTATATACAAAAGTGGGAACACAAGTGTCTATCAACTGAAGAGTAATCACATATACATGAAGCGTTATACAGGAATAAAAAAGAAAGAACTACTGATACCATGCTATGATATATATAAATAATACCATACAGGAAATATCAGGGTGAATCCCACATACAATATACTGAGTATACTTTAAGATTCTATTAATATGAAGCTCAAAATCAGGAAAATGAAGAGCTGATGAAAGAAGTCAGAGTTCAGTTTGGAGAACAGGAGTATAACTGACTTGGAAAAGCAGAGGGAAACACTTGGGATGATGGAAATGTTCTATGGTTATACTACCCAAATCTAGCTGGGGTTTACACAATGTAATAAAAATGCAAAAATTCATAGAGCTGTACAATTAAGATTTTGCACTCATTGACTTCATATGTTATACCTCAACAAAAAGGTGAAGAAGGAGAAAAATGTAATTTCCAAACTGTTTGGAACTGTGCTTATTTAGGTCAAAATTCTCTGAGACATACACAATAGGAATCCAATATTCTTTTTACATTCTTTTAGTCACATGACAAATGGTACCATAATAATAATAATAATAATAATACAAAATGAACATTAACACTCTCAGTCATAAAATACTTGGTTTCTCACTTCCAAGATCGAAGCTACTATTTTAACACAACATTAAAAAGCAATGTTAATTCCACCAGAAATAAAGGCGCAGCTCCTTCGAGCCTTGAATGATGGTACAATTGTCAAGCCAATCTATATCTCAAAAAGCAGGCTAGAAAATGCCCCCAAGTTTCAGTCAAGGGCTTAAGAAGGAAAGCTTCAGATTTATAATCAAATTGTCATACTGTCAATACCATCATCACAAACAGAAGTAAATCACTACCGTGTTTTCCGAACTGCTCAGGAATAGAATAATGTCCAAGATGAATTCTCTGACAACGCCAGAGGCTACCCGTCCTATAGTCCCCTCGGCCCCACTAATTCCACCACAAACGAGCATCTTTTAAAGGCGTTAGTTCTGGTGTCTGCAGACAGAGGAGCTGTCAGAGAAAACTATTTTAACGCGACAAAGCAGTAACAGCTGACTAAAAAGTTTATCCACTGAGGAGCAGAGATGATGGTGAGTTGGTTAAAACACACACGCGCGCGGGCGCGCCTGCGCGCGCGGACAGGCAAACCAAGTGTCTCTGACAGCACTGTTCTCAGAAAAAAGCCGCGCGTTCCCCTAAAGCCCAAGCAGGCTCAGGAAGGTTCGTCCCCGCGAGACACGGCTCATCAGTGGGGCGACCCCACGGGGACAGGGCCCCCGAGGAGTTTCTCTGTGAGGCGACCCAACCCGGACAGGCGCCCGCGCTGCCTGGGCCCGAGCCGGCGAGCGCCGCGGGCGGGCGAGCGAGGCCGGGTAGGCCAGGTACTCACCGCGCTCGCCCGCTCTGCGCTCCGCGGCCGCCGCGCGCCGCCGCCTCCACACTCGGGCGGCGCCCAGCGACCTGAAGCCGCCGCCGCCTCAGCCGCCCATCCTCGGGGCGCGCCGCCGCGCCGAGAACGGCCACTTCCGGCGCGCGCGAGGAAATGAGGCCGCGCCGCCGCGAGTCCCGCCCACTCCCGCCAGGCCCCGTCCCCGAGTGCTCGGTGTCGGGCATGGGAAGCTCAGTGATCTGTATAACAACATTGATTAATCACATCTCTGTTAAAAAAAAAAAATGCGTGTCTACCTCCAAAACCGATTTGTGGAGGTCAGCAGAGCTCCCGAGGCAGGAAACCGCTCCTCCTCGAACAAGCGCCTTCAGGGACAGCGTCAGCCCCAGCCCGCAGGCTAGCTTTGCAGATCCGCCTGCCCCAGAAGTTCGGCCGAAGGTGCCAGCGCTGTCCTTCCCGGGAGCCCGAGGGGGCTATGAGTGCCAGCGTGGGCGCGGAGTTAGGACTAGCAGGTCTCCAAAGGTGTTCGAACATCCTCAGGCGCGCGGGAGCCCCTAGCAAGGGAGCCCAGGGCTGCCAGTGACCTTCCGACTGGACCCTACCTAGTTCCTTCATATGTTAAGTGAGGGAGTTGAGGTAGATGCTCTGGAAAATGGCTTCCAAGTCAGACATGGTATGATTTTAGTGAGTGGGAAAAAAAAGAAAAACTCTTTCCAGTGCCTCCTCCATTCAACGGATCGTTCCAGGGATATCCCCAAGGCACTTTGCCCACCACCCACCACTACCCCCAAGCACTAGCCTGAGCAGGATGCCCGGAGGCGCCAGACCCTGCCTGTGTATAGACAGAGCCCGCTTGTAGAGTCGTCCACTGCATCCCCACAGATTTGTGAATGAATGAATGTTGGTAAACCCTCCAGAGATATAAGCCTGGAGGGCTAACCAAGTTCACTTCCCTATATGGTGCATCATATAGCAGAGCCACTCGCCTCCACGTCAAATATTTTTCCTTTCTATGTCCTCCACTAGTCCTATAGACGCTGGGTTTTCTTTCTCATTTATGGCATTTGTTTTTCTCCCTTTATCCTACTCCTTCCTTACTGATCTTACCTTGTAGCCACGTGTTTGGCACCTAACAGAGCTTGCACTGGGCCCCAGGTGCTTCTTCCAGCACATCTATGAATCCTACTAATCCTCCCGACAGCCCGATGGAGCAGGTTATGGTCTTCAGTTTACAGTGGAGAAAACGGAAACTCAAAGAGGAAGCTGTGAAAGCTATTCTGGGACAGGACCTGGCATGAAATTTAAGTAGCAGGATTAGGGCTAGTTGTCACCTGTTTTAAACTGCTGTTTGAATTATCCATTTGAATTGTTATTTTTAAAGTAACGGAGATTTTCCCATCAATGGATTTAAATGGATAGATTTTTTTTAAATAGCTGAGTCAAATACTATATGTATAAATTTGGAAAGTAGATAATGCACGGTTTAAAATCTGTAACTGATCATGGGTGATATATACTGGGGCTTTTTAAAATAAGTAGTTCTCTGAAGACTACATGTTCTCACTCATGAGCAGGTCCTGATCACTGGTCACATAAGCACAAAGGTAGGAACCAACAGATGCTGGACACTGTTAAGGGAGGGAGGGAGAGAAAAGGGATAAAGAGCACACAGCAACACACCGAGTATCAGATCCACTATTGGGGAGAGAGGGCCTACTAATAGTTTAAAACCTCACCTACATACAATTTACTTATGTAGTAAATCCTCACAACTCTAAAAATAGATTTAATTTAAAAATATAGCTCTCTTGGCGGAAATATTAAAGTACAACTGTGTTGTGCTGCCTTTTTTTTTTTTAACTATAAAACTTTCCCATTCCTCTGCCTTCCTTTGGGTCTGTACCAAAAGCAAATGATACGGGCTGACTTTTTTGCTATATAGCAAGTTGTGAAAAAATAGCCTTTGTCACTTGTCATTTGGGTAGTCTTTGCTTGCTTCCATAGATTTCCTGTTGCTCCCAAGGTACAATCTGTACTGTTTGTCATTGAGGTTCCCAGCCTTCCATCAGTTGTACCCAGAGGCCCTATGTGCTTTGTTGTTCTTGGCTTTAGAGTCCACCAGTGTGATTAAAATCAACACTGGATCTGAACTCAGCTTTCTGCATTGAGTTCCCTGGTTATTTATCCTGTTTAGTGTCCAAGTTTTGTTATTGATTCCCATTTGTTTGGCATCTCTGGTAGAATTAGGTCATTCCTTTTCATCCCTTGTCACTGTCTTTTGTGTTACTCTTTTTGTATTGTGCTGTCTAAAATTGCTGTTTGTCATAAGAAGGAAAACCACAGGCATAGGCCTTATAAATCTGTTATTTGAGCCAACCTCACAGACCCATGAGACCGGTGTCAACTTGGACAAACTTTGCTGTGAGTTACCAATAAAACTGGATGAGGGTCTCCTATCTCAATTTTGTGTCCTGAGAGACACAAGCATTATATTCCTACTTACTATCACCAGTTAGCTCTCATGATGTTGTCTAAATCCACTACTCTTCTGGGAACAATTCCTGCTCCTTATATATACTCTTTACAATCCAAATTCTTATGCTCATCTCCAAAAAGTATAATTTAGAGGATGATTTGGTAAAGATCTAACCTGGAGAACATTTCACTTGAACAAAATTGCTTATTTGAGATATGCCTTAGGTGTCTTACAAAAGAAAGGAAATGGCCCAATGGGCAGCATTTTTTATTGGCAGTCAGGTCTCCAAATGATATTCTGATTAAAAAATTGTTTTACTAAAAGATTATTTATCTAAAGCTAATGAGATATTTGCCAAATTTAAGCAGCAAGAAACTAGACTCATTTTCCTAGTTTTCCTCAAGTTGCCTCCCTAAACCCAGCTATCCCTCTTTCCCCTTATTCTTCGGATTTCTTTCCTTCCCCACATCTGCCCACTCTTCCCTGCTCTTCCCCTTATCCAGATCCCTAGCATTTCCCAACAACTCTTCTAAGACCCCAAAATGCCATCCCACCCATGAATCATGTGTACAGGCAACTGTAGAATTTATACCTTAGACCCAAGCTGAAATAAGAACCATAATTGAGGATTTCCCAAACCCAGACAAGGGCAGCAACTGTTTACAGGATAATTAAGAATATTTTGGGGGCATGCAACCCAGGGTTACCTGATCTATATCAATTTGTACTAACGTTGATCAGAGCTAAATCCCAAATGCCAAAGGCTGAATGGACTTACCCAGAAAGGGACGTATAGGATCTCTCTAGCCACAATAAATCTGTGAGTCCATAAAAAGGTTTAAAGCATAGGGAAAAGTTTCCTAAAAGCCATACCTAAAACATTTCCAATTAAAAAAGCCGAACCAGCCGGGCTCGGTGGCTCAGCCTGTAATCCCGTGCCTTTGGGAGGCTGAGGTGAGTGGATTGCCTGAGCCCATGGGTTCGAGACCCGCCTGGGCAGGTGAGACCTCATCGCCACAATAAAATCAAAAAATTAGCTGGGCATGGTAGCGTGCACCTGTAATTATGGCTACTTGGAAAGCTGAG